CAATTCCATCACAGCTCTTGCCTGTTATGTTACACTTTTCAAAATATGTCATTAAGCTGCCATAAAAGTCATCGCAAATTGTTTTTGCTCCCAAACTGATAATAGACTTACAGATCTAATTTTCAACCTCTTCTCTCCATTACTTTGATTCTTAAGGAGAATATGACATTGCTGTCTGATTACTTTGTAGTAATATCTGGCATCTCTACAGCATTTCTGTCTGAGATCTCTGAGTTTTTAATCGGTTTGTCTTTAGAGCACCTTGAAATGCTGACATATTTATTTGTCTCTCTCTTGCAGAAATGCATGGCTAGAAGCAGACTTTTAAATAAATCTGGTTTATAATTTCAATGAAAAACTACGAGACTTTTTGAGAAAAAAAAATAAAGACATAAAAACCTTCCGTTCTCTCAGGCATCGCAATGTCATTAAAATCCTGACCATTCACACTCAACAAGAGCAAAGAACAGAAGTGAGGCCTCCTGGTTTTGATTCCAAGTTTTTTTAACTACATGGACTATCATCTTCACAAATCGAGAGACTTTGTAAATGCTACTGATGACAGAAACAACTGATTAATTGAGAAAGTATGGCCAAAATAGATTCTGATTTCTCATGGTGATTCCTCTTTATTTTTTGCCAGTGTACATATGAACACTTTTTTTATTCACATAGGGCTTTATATGCTTTTAATTAAATTCACAACTTGAAACTGGCTTTGTTAATGAACTAAATGTATTTGTGACAAAAGCTAGGAATAGGCTATTTTAGAAAGTTTTTTGCAGGGTTAATGAAAGTAACATCCTATAGGAAGAGATCACAAGAACGATGATGGAAAACTGGGATGAAGAGGGAGAAACAGAAAGAAGAAGCAAGAGCTGAAAGACAGGTGAGAAAACAAAGCACACATCATACATAGACCGTGGAGAGGAGTTGAAGAATGGGACACAGTCAACAGGTGTGAATTTGTAGCCCTACTAAACAAGTTGTATTTCTGCTCATCTCACCAAGAACAGGTACTTCCACCAGAAGAAAAGACAGAATATCCATAAATCATCTTCCTGTCCAAGATTTTCAGAGAGCACAGAGAGGCTTTTCTCCCCACTGCTTATATCTCTCATTTGCCAAAAACCCTCTGGATAGAATAACGCTAGCTCCTAGCTTGTCTGAATCTTTGGAAAGGAATTTTAATTTTGACTGTACCTTCTTCCAACAACCACAGGTATATATTTTACAGTGCTGCTTATCAGGCAATTTTGAAACATGGTACCTATGTCACTACTGGTACACAAGTTATACTGAGGCAGTACAGAAATACTGTCTTGAACAGCTAAACACCTCTGCTGCTACCACTGCCATTAATGGCAATATGTAAGGAAATGAGATTTGAAAAGTCTGTCTTAAGTCTCATGTAAAAAGCAGTACTGGCAGTGAGCTAGCCAATCCATTATTCTTGCAGCTAGAATCTTTTGTTCTTCCATTCTGCTAATACCAACACCATTCTCCTCCATGGATTGTGGCAAGAAAAGAAAACAACCAAAACCAATTCACCCATAAAAATCTCCTACTGGTTTTCAGTACTATTATTTCTTTGTCTGGTTTTTCATTTCTTTCTTATAAAGCTATAGAGATTGCCCTCCTCCCATAATTTCTATGACATATGAAGAAGGCTCTTTCCAGTCCCCTAAAACAAGCCCCCAATCATCAGAGCTAAGTGAAGATGTAAGCTTTCCTCCTCAAACACCAAAAGACCTGGAAGCCTTTTGGCTTCCAAGTATAATGCTTCTCCCCAACATAATACAGTGGATAGAGCAAGAAAAAGCTGCTACCTGGCTCGATTGTCTTCCCTTATTAATGGAAGGCTATTGCTGAAGGGATTTTGATAAAGATTGATTTCCTCTGCAATGTCCCAAACTTCAAAACCAGCCTCCACCTGGCTCATCCACCAGGCATACTGTAAAGTAGTACCAACAGCTAATGTGGTGGCGTTTGGAAGGCACACCTAACAGATGCTAAGACTAGAAATTTGAAAGTGATATAGATCACAGGGTTGGTGACCAAAAAATGTATAGGAAAAAGGAAGACAGATTTTTGCTTTGGACAATTTTACATTTCAACTCCTGAATAACTGCTTGGCTGCTGTGCTCTTACAGATCAAGAGGACTTAAAAATTTAGATACACTTTTTTCATATACCACACATTTGAACCATCAGGAAAACAAACACTGGTACAGTTGCTATTAAACACTGACAGTTAAATAATAAAGATGTTTATCTTACCTGGGTTTGCACTTACAACTCCAGAACATTAACTTTTAAAATTACGAACACAGTGGAATCAGAATTCTTAGTATCAGCTTTGATGACCACACTTTCATTAGCCAACAAAAGCAGAGCATTTTATTTTGTGCCCTCAGGCATGTATCAGTTAACATCTACAGATACTTGTAAAATCAAAAAAAGTCTTCCTTTTGTTATCTCACAAACAAATTTTCCAACTGATATGCAGCAAAAATCTCCCATCCAAATTGCTTTTAGTTTTGTAGACTCTAAGTATTAGACCAAATACTTAATCACCCTGTCCCAGAACAATAAAATACAGCTCTTACATAAGATTTTTCAGCAGTAATCTTTAAACACTTTGCGAAGTTGCCCTGATCCATTACTGCTAACCCCAGAGACAAAATATCCCACTGTTTTACCCGGCAGGTTAATGACAGAACTAAAAATAGAATCTTTGTTTCCTCAGCCCAGTTGAATACTACTTCTACCATGCCATAGTGCCTGACACGTCTTTGAAAATAACCTAGGTCTAACCTGACATTTAACAGCCACTTCTACTTACATAAAGAAAACCCAAAACCCTCTATACCATCATAACACAACCAACTACCATGGCTTTCATGTGCTGTGCTTCAAGAAATCCAAAGAGGTCTTCAGAGCATGTCTGTACTCTAGAGCAGCAGGACACTTCTCAGACTAATTAGTTCATGTGGAGCTTCCTCACTATATTGCTTCTGAGCAAGCTCATTTATCTTCATAGTACATTATGCAGCATAGATACACCCTCAGACAAATCAATTTCTCTAGGTAAGGAATACATGCTTGACGAGGCAAATGCCATTTAAGAGACATTATTATGAACAAATGCTCTCACAGTACAATCACTTCTATTTCCAGTTGACTCCCAGGTTTAAATTCTTTGTAGATCAGAATGGATTTAAATAAAAATGGAAAAAAGTGATTTGTCCTGCTCATGTCAGAAAGAAAAAATCTATCAGTAATGGCTAGGTGAAATTTTATGAGGACAGATGTGAGAAGGTCTTCTTCCCTAGCATGAGGGATATGATTTGCTATACTTCAGAAGACAAATTAACAATAGTCTGAATGACAGAGAAGCATCGAATTCCAAAACCATGTTTGTACCGGAAGCTTGCTCAAGTTTGGCAGTAAATTTGCCATGAACTGAGCATGTTTAAAGGGTGTTTCCCTTGCATATCTTCCTAGAGCTTGACTGAGGACTCAATTCTCAAGACCCAATTCTCAATTCACTCTGTCTCTGCTCACCGCAACTATCTTTAAAAATCACTAACAACGGATGCATTTTTACATTCCTCCAACAAACCTTCTGTTTGGTACAGAAGAATCAGAGGTTCAAGCTTACTTTGTCAGTGTTTTACGCAATTACTTACACAAGCCTCACATGACAGAATGTTTCTGGTTTTCATCTGATATAAAATACATACACCCTCACCACCCCAGAAGAAAACTACCATAAAAAAAACAAAAAAGTGAACTCTAATGGTCAAAAAAACATAGTATTTCTCACCCTCCTGCACACAAACGCTGTATATTGCCTTCAACTAACCAATCACACCGGATTTTTTTCCAGATGATCTTTTTCTTGTTCTAAGAATAGGACAGACAGTGCTAACACTGAATGAGCACTCATTCAGTAAGTACTCCATTTCATTCTCACTGTTCACTGTGTGGCATCGCTGCATAATTTACAGCACCTACATCTAAAATTGTAACTGAAAACATCTCATTTTTCTGTTGATCACTATTATGCACCTGAATTGTTTCTTTATACTAAATACTCCACAGCACCTCCATCAGACAATTTTATGACTCTTGTTTTCAGGTAGCAAACCAGGAGAGAGCAACGTGCATCAGGATTGCCCGTAATTAGAGATGCTCGAGTTGAGATGCTTTGGGTCTCTCTTCAGAGGATAGAGCAATTAAACAGCACTTTGTCAGTACAAAGTACAACTTCAATCTATTTCAGTGCTATCATGTGTTTTCAAAGCTGACATTAATTGGTCCCAAGAGTATCAACTCATAAAATGAGAAGTACACAACTAATGGCCATATTTAAAAAATGTAGTTGAAGTGTCTCACCCAACCTCACAAAGGAGCAATATGGCTGAATTCAGATTTGGCTCTAACCCTCCAGAACAGCATCTAAACATACCTAGCTTTAAAACAAATCTCTTTTAGTGTTATTCTCTCCTTTCCTCACCTACCAGGTCTCATGCACTTTCAGCAGTTCTGAGAAAGCAGGTGTAAAGGAAACAACCTCATTGATTAGGATCTCTTAATACTAAACACCATTCAAGCAATCACTGCAAAGGCAGATCTTCACTACAAAGCTGCTGGTCTACAAGGTAACCAGTACACAGCATATAAACATTACAGGATTAGGAATTACAGTGCAGCAACAAACAGAAACCTCCTAACACAAATTTCTATCAGAATGTTTTCTACCACCTCAGGAAACTGAGTTTCTTTCAGTTTGACCAATGCCAGCAGACAACATATCACTATTTCCCTTTTACACCAGCACAATACCCAAGCCTTAATTATAGAATTTTTACAAAGCACAATAGTATCACATTGCAGTCAGTGTTTTGGACAAGCTCCTCATAAACACATACTTGTTTAAACTTCTGTTACAAAAAAAAGAAAAAAACACATTCAAAAGCAAAATGAACACTCACCTCATTTCCACCAACAGCTTTGGTTAAAATTACTGCAGAAGACACAGGAGGAGGCATGCAGCCCACTGTCTGCAAGCTGAAAACAACAAAAACAGTTGTTACATTCCTCACACAATGCAAACACTATGCAACTTCAAACCTTAAAATATGACGCAGCCAAGTAGAAAAAAATGATCTTACCACCTGTGCAACCCAGTTTGAGTTACAGTTACAGCCCTGCACCAGCTGACAGGATTTCTCTGCCATCTCTTACCAACCACCACAGTGAAGAGTCATGTCACCATTTAAAAATACAAACACGTAAATTGTCTGTGACTCCATTTCCCCTGTCTGCAGTACTGTATCTACCATTCCCAAAGATACCTATACATCTGTCACAAAGATAACTGCACCAAGTGAAATAAAGTAATGTAGTGTGCAATAAAGTTTGTAGTTGTTTTGAGATACCTGCAACTATTTGGAAAAAAAAAAAAAAGTAAGGATATAAGTTCCTATTTTCTTGAAAAGGCAAAAAAAATAATCCAGTTAAGCTTTTTATTTCCTGAACATTAAAAAGCCATCAAATGTTTAATTTTTATGCATGTTTTCACTCCCTAGTAAAATCACTTGACTTTGATTAATCAAAACACCAAAAGCTTTCTTCTGCCTAAAATACAAACTATTACTATCTGTCATTTTTTCCATTGTTTGTGCAGCAAAACTATTGATGTATATAGTAAATGCTGTTGCAAAGTAAGAAAAAACAGTGATGAGCTTTCCTTTGTCTTCAAAGACAGTCTGCTAAAACTGGCTATTACAAGAATTAGATGTATCAAACATGTACTTAGAAACAAGAACACACTACAGTATATTACAACTAAATTTAGGGCTGAGTAATACAGAGTTTGTGAGAGAAAGTATTTTGACTTAGAAGGAACAGTAAGGCATGGAATAAAACAGTCTAGAAAACCCCAAAAGCATGGAATCTATGTTTTCAAGTACTGGAGTTTAGGACAATATTCTAGTTCAGGACAATCAATCACTAGTGGTGAACTCCTTTGCACTTGTAACTGTGTTTGTCCATCAGCAAGAAATGCAGTGTCAAAAAGCTGTAGCAAACAGAAGTGCTAAATCATAGAATCATAGAATCAACCAGGCTGGAACAATGGGGAGCATATTACAGTGCAATTGATACGCTGCAAATATATAAAAAAGCTTGAACAGAAGAAACAGGTAAATGACAATGATGGTATTCAGTTTGTCAGCTACAGACACTGTGGAAGAGGAAAGAGGCAACCGATGCAAGCAATATATAAATCTAATCACAACGTGCCAAGCACCACCTTGGAATTACATAGTACCTTTAGCTTATAGTGAATAAGCTATGGAAGCAGAGAGTTGTCAGCACTTAGCTGGATAAGGTTATCTTGAAAAGAAATATAGGAAAAAGAAATGTTGTGAAAAAGTTTACAAATATATATGAAAATACACAGTAGATAAACACATGGCAAGTTTGATGTCCATCCCCTAAATCGGCTGTGACTCTGCATGGTCTCTTGTCAGGCAGCTCCTAGAACTTCTCACCTGAACTAATAAGGGGTGGATTAAGTTCAAAGTTATCCAGAGAGGTACGAAATGTGTGCAAGGGCATTCATCTCATGTGGCAGGGATTTTCCACACTATAAGGGAAAGATTTAATAATACTATCTCTGTGAACCCTCACAACTTTAAAATACCACACTTGGAATTAAAAAAAAGAACAAACCCACCTGAAAATCACTATCAAACTACAGTTTTTAGTATTCTTCATATGAAAACATTAATCTACAAAAAACTTGGTACACACTAAATGCAAATACTTTTAATCAGGTGTATCAGAACATGCACTTGTGAACTTTTTTTTCGCTTTGTATCAACTACACACAATTCTACCAGTATAGAAACAAATTCCTCTAATGGCGAAAACATAACCAAATTTAAACATTTCAGTGGTTCAGGCATAGTATAAGCATTAACATCAGGGGTCCAAACACTTGCCGAAGAGCAATAAATAATACCTGTTCTGCTGAAACATTACAGACAACTGAGTAGTAGGGTCCACAGTCCTATATTTTAGGTACAGAATTACCAAACCCATGACTTACACCAGATCTTTGCATCTTGTGCCTTACCACCTGTGCTGTAAATGCTATATGCTAATCTGTGCAAATATTAATAACCTGCTTCATGCACCTTTTGTCAATGCAAAAACTAGTTAGCTAACAAAAAATTAACTTAGAAGATGCTTAGGCTGGACACCCTTGGGAGCATATGCCTTTTTTTCCAGGCCTTTGTGAAGACTATTAACTACCTCCTCCTGCAATTTGTGCTAAACATGCATGCAGAGAAAGCGACTTTGCCAAAGCTGGTCTTGTCTCCCTGTTTTTCATCAAGGTACTTCAGTGTTTCTAGGGAATAAAGGCTACAGCTGTGGGGAATTAGGATGAACTGGTTAGCAAGAGCAGCCAAGGCACAGACTGTTCCTCACATCTGCTCCTCACTCTCCTTTCAGGCACCCGTATAGAGACATATGGGTACCTGCCTTAAAATGTGTTATCCTAGAATGAGGACAGAACTTAGTACGTTTTCTGCACCTGCATAGCACTGAAGGTACAGCTCCCACAAGGCTCCCTTTGCAATGGATGTCTTCAGAGCCACAAAACGGCTGCTGCTCTGAGCATGTCTTGAACAGCAGTACTTATCAAAAAGGTACTTAAAAACCCCACATGCAACAGAAAAGCCTCGCCTTCATTTACCTCCTCAATCTGACCATTCTTTAAATGAAATCTCAGTACAGCAATTACTGCACTGGAAGATAAAACAATGCCAAAACAGAAACAGTACTCAAGGAACAAGTGCCTGCAAAATTGAAACATTTGGAATTACACTAGCTCACTGGTAAAATACAGCCACACTGTCATGAAAAACGAGGCTGGTTTAGGCTCCACGTTTAAGAAGATACACATACAAGTGGTTATTTTTTAAAAAGATACATACACATGTAGTTTTAAATGCAGTTTTACAGATGTGCATGTAAACACATTCAAAAATACTCATCTATGTCACAGATTATCCCTTAAACAGTAAGAACCAAAGTGGTGTAAGAGTCATAGGAAAGAAGGGATGAGAAGTGCTGCAAGAAACAAAAAACCCACCAAAACACTCTCTTGCACTTTGCACTTTAGAAACAGATCCCATGGGTTAAGGAGGGAATTTTGGCTCACTGTGGAAAACCATGCCTTTGATCTATCTCAGGAAAACCTTCGCAACAATTTAATGAACAACCTTCACTATATATAGCTAAAAGCCAATGGACATTGTATAGCAACCTTGTTACCTGCTTGACATACAGTTAAGCAAACCAGTGCTAACATTTAAAAGATCTTATAATCTCAATTTCACCTTCCGAGTACCATTTGGATCACTTCACATGTGGTGGAACACCTGGAGAAGCTTCTTAAAAGCAGAACAAAATGTTCTTTTAAGTTTAGGCCTCGTAGAACATAAACAGCTTTACCACCGAACTTCTAAGACAGGGAAGTCTCCTCATGCAATGTTTCACCAAGCAGTAAGAAAAAAACAGAGATTCTTTAAGTAAATTTCTAAAACAACAGATTTTTGCATTCACACATTCCAGTGTAACTGCATGGTGCCACGTATTGACCTCTGATTGTGAAAAAAAGCTTTTAATTTTTTATTTTTCATAGCACCTATAACTACTGCACCATCAATACAACTTTGGAAGCATTCATTGGCAGAATATACCAAAGATTAAAACCACATTATTTTCATGGTAACAGCTTCTGCTCCCCTCAAAGTTCTCCTCATACAGAAACTTCATCCTCTTTTCCCACCCTTTCCCCCACAATTTAGCTAGGAGCAGATACTGAATCCCAATCTGGACACATGCCAGAGATATACTCAGTAAAGACTAAAACCAGAATTGAATACCAGTAAGTGACACACACAGTATTTATGCACCAATTTACTTTTTTTTTTTTTCCTTCAGCACTCCTTTTCCTTCCTCCGTAAGGAAAATGAGACCCAGCACAGCACTTGAACTGTGCTTTATGAAAGAGAAAGCTAACCTGATGAAAGCTCCCCACAGAAACTAACTGACCAGACTTCCCCAAAATGAGACCAGTTCCTTAAAGGATAATCTTGTGCGAGTACCGTGTTTCCAACAGCAAAGTGCTGAAGCACAAAATCAACCAGCAAAATCCATTCACAATACAAGTCTTAAAGCACCCACTGCAGGATAAGCAGTCCTATAAGAAGACAGATACAAATATATTTCACTCCATTATGCTTAAACATACCCTTTTAAAAGCCATTCATTTATAGGTGTGATTGATAATAGCTGAAGAAAGAGCCATATTGCTGTTGGGAAGAACACAAGTGTAAAAATCTGGACAAAAAGGTGTAGTTTCACATGCATCAAAGCACTTGTCAGCTCCTGCAAGAGAAAAAGAAGAGAGGAAGTTGCAGTCATAACAGCCGAAGTAGGATCATGCTTGTGCTTTTAAAACTAGGATCATCTTTATAATACAAAGAGAGTGCATGTCAAAAAGGCACTTTTAGGGATCATCTGATCCCTTTAATAATGAAGTACATCCAGACAACATAAAGGCTCTGGCAGCTCCTGGGCATTTTTCCAAAAGAATTGTCCACCATTTCAACAACAGTATATCTCTCATAATAGTAGCTTTCCAGAAGCCAGCCTTAGCACTTCGCCACTGCTTCAAAACCTGTGTTAACTATGCTGACGGCCTGTTTACTTTATTTACTGCTGATATCAAGAGGAAGGGAAATTTGCAGTGTCCATATGATCTCAAAATCATGTCTGGTCTAAAGACAGCCACAAACTGTGATTCTCATTTATACATTACGGTCATCATTTGTGGTGGGTTTTCTTTTAAGGAAAGACTAACAAATACAAAAAGCAAAGCAATCTGTAGCAGATTTTGGTTATTTACTGTACCAACAAATAGGAAATATATAGAAAAAAATAGGTAGATGATGAATAGCAAAGAAAGAATAACAAGAGCATAACAAGCTAACAATAGCTAAGCCATACAATTCACAGAAATAAAATGCAAAACATCACCGGACACTGAGAAAACAAGGAAAATTTTAATTTTCAACAGTGTAAGTGCACTCCTGTGTGGTAATTGAGTATTCTTAGCAATAAAGTCTTCAGTGAGCTCCATGTCTCCACTTTTGTCTTTCGGGCACTCCAAGGATCTTTTACACAGTTTTGAGTACAAGGGAAAAAGCTTTGTACATTTCAGCTCATTTCAAAGTTCACAAGAGAAGAAAAAAATCCTTTTCCTCTCTCTCAAAATAACTTGCTCTCTTTTCAAGTAAACAATGCAATAGGAAAAGAACTGATGGCACTTTTATTCAAAACCTAATTTGCTGACACCCCAAAGGCATTTAAAAAAAAGGATTATAAAAAAGTGTATTTCCATGTATAGGCATGCAGCAGCCAATCTTCAAGTGCCACCCTCTTTCAGCTTCCAGAAAGAACTTTTATGAAACACAATCAAATATTGCATTTTCAACCATCCAAATGCACACAGATGTAATTATACATCTGGAAGTACTAGCAATTCAGCACTTAGACCTTGTTACTTTATTACTAAATAAATAGATAATAAAATTATCTCCCAAATTTGGGTTAGGGTTACGAACCTTCCACAAAAAAACACAAACCCTTTCATTTGTATTCTTCAAGTTACACAAAACAGAGAGTTGAAACTTACATCTATCAGGTTTTACTAAGAAAGTATCATTACATTCAGCACTTGGTTAACAATGAATGTTGCTTCAAACACGTTAATGAAACAACAATTATTTTTAAAGAAATAAAGTTCTTGAGCAGGCTAGTATCACTCAACATGGGAAAAAAATAGGCCTTCACACATAACCGGTTTACAATACCTAAGGCATTATGAATAGCTTCACTGTAGTACTATTTCATCTTATCTCAGAAAGAAAACAAAAATTGAACACCTAGTAGTAGAAACACATCCTGTGTGGGAAGACAAGATACCTGGAAATATCTATATATAAAAGTGCATGTATTAAAAGTAAATAATGGCATTGAGAAAAAACAGAGCAAGTGACTTCTTTCAGCAAAACTGCTAAATCCTCCCTCCCTGCCAAGTCATGTCCAGCCTCAGATGTCTCAGTGGCCTAATCTATGAAGACACCCCCAATCTAAGCACCATCACACATACAGAAGTGCCCTTTTGATTAAATATTTTTTACAACTGCAAAATGCTTTAAAAATATATGATTTGAAGAAAGCTCTAATACTTTCAAAAGCAAAATCCAAGATAAAAACTTGGACAAGACTGGTTAGAGCTTCTGGGGAGCGAGGAAGGCTAGTATAAGAAGGAATGCTGTATTAGTGGAACAGGTCTTTGCAGATACAAATTACCAGTCTTTAGAACGTCTCTAGTGATTGCCTGTTAGAATAGTTATTCCTAAAACAGTGTCATCATTAAACAAATACCAAGGCAAACATCCTTCACCCTCTTAAGTTATTTACAAAGGCATCTGTCACTGCAGACCTCAAAAGCAGAAGTCTCAGAAAAGTTACTGGAAGCTTCTAGTTATGACTCTGCTTCTGCACGCCAGGTAGGACAGGTTACCTTGTCTTTCCCAGTATTTCAAACCCTTTAGAGAGCTCATCCTAGCTTCTCACTGGTCAGCATGAGCTGTGTTGCCGTTCAGCCACGCTTAGATGGTCATAGCTGGACTCCTCTGGGAAAACACCCACACAGAGCAAACAGTGTTTTCAGTGGCTTGCCAAATTCCTCATGGAAATGGATAACTAGTATGTGATTTAATTTCTGGGGCCTTACAGGAGGTATTTACTCTAAAAAAGCAAGCTATCCAGTCACTGAAGACTAAAAGAGCATTACATTAAAGTGAAATCAAATGTTCTTGTCATTTCTGGACTCAGTCTCTTTCTACAAGTATAAGAGGACCTCAGTCACTTCTAGATTTGAAAATGTCACAAGCCCATGCACAGGCAGACTCTCCCTGAACAGTGCCAATTATTTTGTAAAATGCTTTCTGAATGCATGTTAGCAAATTTTTTTGAGCATGAGCTTTCACAGGAGATAAAACCTAAAGCACAATCTTAAAAGAGCATCAGCTGTTTCTAGTTTTGTCATATTTATCAGAAGGCCTCTGTTAACACATAATTTTTTATTATTTCATAAAGCATACCAAACACTAGTTTCAATCTAACACATTAACCAAGGTAAACAGCCAATACACAGGTCAAGAACTAATAAAGACAAAAGCAGAAGCTATTTCCTTTGCAATCTAATAAAAAGATATATTAAAATTAATATAATACCAACTTCAGGTTGCACCTTAAACAATTAAAACATGCCTCAAAATATATTAATGAAATAATGGCCTGGCCTTCTAACACATTTAAGTATAGCTTTCGATATACATTTTAGAAAGTAATAGCACAAGGTACAATGACCAAAATGTTTTTCTTCCTTTTTTATCTTCTGCCTCCATGGCAGAAATTCAGGAAAGGCTAAGCTCCTTGATGGAACATAAAGCTGGATATACAGCATCAGTCCTTATTAATGTTTCCAAAAGAACCTGAGGTCAGCTACCTAGACATAAATATCAGTTCCTGTAAAAACTTTGTTTGCAACAATATATTGCTTTTAGAACCACAGGTGTAAAAAGTTATGAAAATTCAAAGTAAGACATGACACATTGCCCAAGAACTTGTAAGTCATATCACCTTAATTGGAAAAAGTCAGATGGACACTGACATTGATAATGCTATTAATTTCACACTCACAGCTGCTTTATAAAGCTTCAAGGATACAACTAAGTGAAAAGGAAAGAAGTTTGACTTTTTTACTCCACATGCAAAGATTCCTAACACTGAAAGCAGAAAACTCCACTCCATTAGTACTACTCAGGCTTTGTGTTTCAGGTTTCTCTTCCCTGTAGAAGAAAGTTCCTCTCTGCAGCCTATTTCCATTAAGATTAATTACTGTCCCAGGCAAATAGATAACATGGCTCTTCCCACTTCCCCACAGGGCCACAAGGCTTGAAATAGCTGCTACAGAATTGACTAAAGCTACTCACTTCACTGTGTCCCAGCAGAGCCAGAGGCCAAAACTGCCAGCAGACACCTGCAGAAGGCTGCTGCGAATTTAAACACCACCTCCTTTAGAAATTTTATCTCTACAATCATGATACAGGTATAGATACTTTTTGTTGTTGTTGTGGAATGCATACAATTTGTACAGTTCCAGCTGTTCCCAGTTTGTCTAGAAGATTATTGGACAATATCATGGTGATTCCTTTAGGCATCAGTATCACGCAACATATGAATGAAATCACCTGTTAGGACAGCCACCAGCATAAAAGGAATCAAGAAACTAGACTAAGAGAGACATGCAGTGTTTCACTCAAACTCTGGCTGTTCCATCTCTTGTTGGCAGGTAGCCACCGTTTCTTTCCTCCATGCCTCCTTTACACATCACTAAGTTCCCCCTTCGATCTTCTTACTCCCTAATTGTTTCTCTTTGAAAAAACATGACAAAATCTGAAACAAGTTTCACTGTTTGCAATATGCAGCAGGCCTTGAATCTGCAGAGGAACCCTTTTGTGTTGATACTAGCTGCTGTTCTGTGCCTACCCAACATGGTAACTTAAAGCAAACAGATTTTTGCCTGTTATCAATTCGGTCAATTGACTAGCCTAGTGTTATTTAGAGATCGCACCAGCAGGCGAGGTGAAGGAGAGAGGCACAAAGAGCTCAAACCTGCTGTCTGTGTCCTGCAGAGGCATGGAGACTTCACATAACCCCTCTCTACCTAGCTCAGTACAAAGTTCTACCCTATGCTGGTTTCTATCCCAGTTTTCTGGCCTGTATCTCACCTGACCAGTGGGAAGCCAAAGAGCAGAAGGAGTGGCAGAAGGCAGGTGCTGGTATTCTCCTGGGTCTCACCACTATTTGGGTTTGGGACACATCCAGGGCGTAGACCCAGTCTCAGAACTGTTCTCAACACTTTCATTTAGTCAAAGCCCTGCAAAGTCACTTAACCCTCCCTCTCTATGGATGGGTGAAATTTATTCACACTTTCCTTCTCATCATGGTCACTGCCTTGTGAAGAATTTTCTGAAATCAAAGAGGGGTCCATAAATGTCTAGTATTTATCTCCTCTTGTTAGCCATTTTTCCAGCATCATCAGCAACAGCACAATAATCAAATATTCCAACTACATTCAAACCTGATCAAAAGCAACACAAATCTTTTTAGAGCAAAACAAGAATGAAGCAATGAGAAATTACAGTACCTCAGTTTTTAAGGAGAGTCCGCTGTTAAAGAATATAGCTGAAACAGCAATGTAAGTTATGGTAATTTCTGGTTTCAAGGGTCCTAAAAAATACAGACATAGAAAACAAAGTGAACTACCATCAAAGATACAATGATACACATATACTACATGGAAATAAATGAGAATACTTAGAAAAATACCTGGAGAAAATCCAATCATTAAAGTATCTAATAAAAATAATGGAGTTTCTATTAGGTTACAGAAAGCATGCTATCTGGTTTTTAATAAAAGCAAGCCAGTGAGTGGAGGCTGAGATATGATGTCATACAAATTTGGCTTCCGTAATTACAGGCTACTGGTAACTTAAGAGGCAAATTGTGGAAATGTGAAAATAGGGAATTTTTGACAGTTCTGTCATCAGAGTGTCCCTATAACATCAGCAAACTCAAACCATACATTCAAATAAAAATATTAGCTGCTTCTTCCACAGGACTATCAATATCATTCACATATCTGTGTCTCAGTCCTTCCTCCACAACACACACACCTGTCCAGCTGCCTGCACAGAGGAAAGCCAATCATACTTTGCAACAGTTTCCTTGGGCAATACAATTCTGTATTATTCCCTTACAACAGGGCTGTGGCGAAATGGTTTGTTCCTAAAACACCACATTTCAGACACACTGCCGCAGTGAGATCAGCAAGGGCAGATGCCTGCACCTCCATGGGTTCCACTATATTTAAGGCTTACATTTGTATATATTTGTATACTTTTTTCAGGGATATTCAAATAAAATACTTTTTATACTCCTCTAAAAATGATGAATTCTCTTAATACACTTTGCCTTCAGAGGCCACCGAGCACAAACTGTATATACTCATTTTTCCACAAGCATTCAACCAGTCATTAGAAAGAAATTGTTAGCAGTCTACTTAGGACCAAAGTAATATCCTAACTCTACAAGTGACAGTAACTTGTCATGAGCAAAACTGCAGCAGCAGACAAACAAGCCTTTACTTGACACTCCAGAAGAGATCCTTTCTGCTCTTTCAGAGGAATGATATATTGATGGTCACACTGAAGTAAGGTAAATGATCCTCACAGAGATTTGATCATACACTGAGTCTAATCAAATTTGCATCTGAAGTCATTTAAACCCAAATCCTACCCCCAGAGAGGGCTCTGTTGATGAGACACTGAAATGGCGTGTGTTAAATACAAAAAAAAAAAACAACCAACCAACCAAACGAACCAACCAATCTATACAAAGTGTAAGGTAAAAATAGGCCAAGAGATGCAACAGTTAAAGTTGCAACAAAGCACATGGCTAGTTGCAAAATTATGGCATGTTAACGGAATAGCCAGGGGGGATAAGACAAAGGTAAACAGAAAAATTATATAAATACATGTAAAGTTACACAGAAAACTATGTAATACAAAGTCTAATCTTTTTCTAATCTTTTAGAAGATTAGAGCATATATGTACATGCATAAACACAATGGGCAGAAAGGCAGTGGGTCAGTTAGTCTGGCTAAAACAGTGGTTCTTCCAGGACTCAGTTTTTCTATTTTAAGGTTTTTTGCTGGACTGCCCAAACTCCTTTACACAGGAGAAACCTCTAAGACTAGAGCAAACACACGTTCATGGAGCACAGGGAACTCTGCTCAGAACAGATCCCCTTCATCTCTTGTGTAAAAGACTGGTCAGGAAAGCTCTGTTCACAAAGGAACTAAATAGGCTCATTCATCAAATAGGAAAACACTCAAAAAGGGCTTGGCTTATGCCCTGAAGGTGGCAACAGCACAAATCTTTGTTATTTGTGTTCCACTGGTAAGGATGCTGGACCACCCATACCATTCGAAAGGCCCTGCAAATTACAGTGCGTGGTTTTGTCAGCTGGAAGATGACAAACTAAGGGGGTTTTTTATATGTTGGTATTTCCCACCCCCCACCTCTTCTTTCTTCTGGCTTTAAGAAGACAAAAAAAATTATTGTTTTTTCCTCAGACCACTGAGATCACACAGCTTCAGAAGAGGGACAGATACCACTTTGTGGAACATGTGCTCATGAGTTTGAATCAATGCTTACAAGATTTTTCAAGCAAGTTGTCCCAGGAACAATATCATGTCAAAGCTTGACATCTCTTTGCAGCAGGATAATTAAATGAAGTGCTCCATCATAGTGCTTCCATGCAGGAAGTAAGTTGAGGGAAAATTATCTCATATCCTAGTTAAAAGGATCTCCCACATTGCTGCTAACAATTAGCATGACAATCAAACAGAAAGAGACAAGCCACCTCATACTATCAATCTCAAACTGTCTTTAAGGTCTGCTGAAGACACAGCATGGCTCCTGCAAGAAGCGCCTGGGTCCTATTCACCTATGCAATACAGCACACAGATGTTAGAAGGGATCCTTGCACAGCAGAAATTTGCCTACCCTGAACTCCATGAAGTACTGGAGCCTTAGCTGCCACAGCAAATGTTCAGAGCCATATATTTTTTAATCATTTTCGCTTTTCCCAGAACCTAAAGGGGAAAAGGGAGAAAGGTTGGCTCCTCAGTGAAAAACCATCTATCCCCAAACTTCAGCTCTGTTAAGAAAAAATAATACAATTAAAGAAAAAAACCCTATGCATATAAAAGAATAGCCAGATTGTTAATCCACTCCCATAACATGGAACTGCTAGAGGAATTCTGTTCATATGTTCTATATCCTTTTTCTTAAACCTTCAAAGACCAGTTGGAAATATATATATATACGTATAAAATTAAATTAGTTCTTGAAAACTGTAAATATCTGGAACTGAATTTACAATAGATACTAACCAGCACATGCTGCCAGCATTTATACTTAAAGATATACTGCTTATTTTTAAACAACACTGGATGTTTCGTCAGCTCTTGTTCCAAGAAACATACAAGTCCTCGCTGCTTAGAAAAGGGCAGATCTTACTTCTCACTTTTTTACTGTGAGCATGTGGCACCATTTTGCACTGAATTTTTTCCATTGTTTTCACTAATCTTTCATGATGAATTAAGAGGTGACAATAACAACAACAGCTCTTTAAAATACATGAGTGTTATTATAAAGTAAAAAAAAAATCATCTGGCTGAAATACAGCTCCTGATATTTTAAGGCAGCATACCGTAAGCTACACTCTCGAGAAGCTCACAGATATCAGACATTCATATACCGAACTGCAATGATTTCATGCCCATCTCAGAGTTCTCGAAGTTATTACTTAGTTTAACAGGAGTACATGCATAGGAAGTTGCTATCCAGGTTTCACTACGAGTAACCCAAAGAGAGTAAGCTATTATTCCAGCAACTGGTACAGTGCCTAGCAAAGATACAGGAACACACCCCAGACTATTTCTTCGGTACCTGAGAATCACTGACTGACTTGATCGGCCGAGAGGCGAGCTGCTGGTGGTGCAGGGACTACCGGAGGGCCCGGCTGTGTCCCGGCCAGGTCCCTGCGGCTCTCCCTCCTGCGCCACTCACAACCCGAGCTCCAAACTTTCTGCAGTGGTGCCCCGACGTCAGAGGAGCATCCGAGCAAGTCTCAGCGTTCCCGCCAGCGAGGCGGCCAGCACCCCCGCCCAGGGACCCCAAGAAAGGCCCACAGACCCTCCTCTGCCTGCACCCCCCTGCACCGGGGCGGCCCGCTCTACGTCCTGCCTCTCCCATGGGGGCCCGTGCAGGGCAGCGCCAGGTCCGGCCCGCACGACCGAAACGCGCTAGGGGGTCAGCGCCGGCCGCCGAGAGTTGACAAAGTACGGCCGGACCCCCGACGGCGCCTGTGGTCTCGGGCGGCGGCTCGGGTGGCCCCGCTGGCGCGCCCCGCATTGCCCGCCGAGCCCAGCTGCGGGGCAAACCGTCGCCGGCGGGGCAGCGGCCGGACTCACCCCCTTTGACGCCGACAGCGGGCTCCAGCCGCGCCACCGCGATGACCAGCACGATCCCGAGAATGAACCACTCCTTCCGCAGGCGCTCCAGCAGCCCCATGGCGCGCCCCGCCGCTCCCCACCGCCCGGCACAGCACGGCCCGGCGCGGCGCACCACGGCGCAGCGCCGGGGCGGGGTGCAGCCCCTCCGCCCGCCGGCAGGGCCAGCCGGATCCGCTGACAGGAAAAGTCTCACCCACCGCCGCCATCGCTACCACGCACCTGCTAATAGACACGCAGCACCCGACCGACGGCCCGCCCGCAGCGCCGACATCCCCACTCTTCGCCCTCTGGCTTTGACTGCTCTCGCCCCACGCTGCCTCCCGGCACCGACGCGGAGACGCCGACAGTCACAGTGCGTCGAGGCGGCGCGGGGTGGTGCGACAGGACGGCGACGCCGCCGGCCGCCTCCGTTGCTGTTATCGCCTGTCAGGCCGTGAGGGCGGCCCCCAGAGCCGCTCCCGGCGGGCGGCGCGCTCCCGGCGGGCGCTGGTGCTCGGCGGGCACGGTGGGGCAGCGGGCGGGAGCGCGGGCGGTGAGTGCGCGCTGTTTTGGTACATTACAACGTCTGCGTGACGCCTCGCGTTTGACGCGCGGGAGGGCGGGCGCGAGCTGGCGGTTGTGGCCTGGCTGGAGGAGGTGCCGGCGTTCCTCGCAGTGCGGGCACGTCCCATCGCGGTGCAGGGGACGCGGGTCACTGTGCCCGCCGAGGCTGCCGGCAGTGGAAATGCTGTGGGTTAAAACCCCGCGGCCCTAACTGCGAAACGATTTGCTCCGGACTGGCGGCGACCGCTCGGTCACAGACGTGTTGCCGGTGCGCGTGCCCCCGTGTCCCGTTACCGAGCGAGTGACCGGTCGTTCCCTCATCACCCCTCTGCTCACCCTGATCTTTCAGTAGGAAGGCGCCTGCTCGGCCGGGCTGAACAAACCCGAAAGCATCTGCCGTGCCCGGAGGAAAAGCGCCTATCGCGACTTGCCGACACCGGTCGGGTCCTGCGGTCTGCCCCACGCCGCCGTGCGCGTATGCCTGCTGAGCGAGCCGGCTTCCAGACGGGAGACGATTCCCTGTGCGGAGGCCGTGGGCTTGTTTCAGTATTAAATACATTTCCATTAAAAAGTATCGTAAACCCTCGCTGTGGTGCTCGACCGCGCGTTCCTTCTGTTCCTGTCTTGTCGCCGTTTACCTGATGGATTCCGTAGCTCAGCCCCTGCCCGGTCGCAACCCCCTCTCTCTAAATCACATAACAAGAAAATGATAAAGCATGAAACGCTTAAAACGCTCAAAACACGTGAAACTCAGTACTGCCACGGCTGCCTTGGTCCGGCAGGCATAGAACACCCAGCAGATCTGCTGTGTGCTTTGCAGACACGTAGGTAAGTTTGTACTTCGCAGCCTCTGTTGAAGATATATTCAGGCTTCCAAGAACAGCCCTGCTCTCTGCTACCCAGTAAATAAATATTTATAGCTCAAAACTCATTTGTGAGCTCAGCTACTTCAGGAGACATACGATGTCTTTGTGTCCTGTGACGTTCATTTGTCTAAACATGCGTAGGTCATAGCTAAGTTCATTTATCTAAAGCTGTGTAGGTCATAGCTGAATATGCCTTCCTGCACCCACAAGGGGGTCCAAAATGTGCATTTAAGGTTACAGATTTCACTGCTTCACTAAAGTTTACTGGAGTGCATGTTGATCCTTGCTCCCTTCTTAAGGTACAAGTGCCAGATTGCAAAACTTCACTGCATTTACCTGTGCAACTGCTACAGGTTGACAGCTTTGGGAGAAAATAAACGCATAATGGCTGTGATTATAAAGTGTATAGAAGGATTTGATTACTGCACAGGAAGGACAGGGTGATTCAGCTAAAAATGGAAAGTCAATGTTTGTCATGTAAACTATATGAAATGTTTGTGTGGATACTCATTCACAGGTGAGGTGGCCTTAGTTCTAGGACATGGCACAGGTCATAGATCAGAGTACTTACATCTTTTCACACATGGCTCTGAAAGCACACTAGCAAGAACTTAGGCCCTCTGACCTGAATACAGCTGGAGACCAGGCAGATGTCCAGTGTTTCCTGGGTCATTTTGCCATGGATGTGTATGCAACCCTCGAGCTCCTAACAGGGTTCCAGCCCAGCTGATTCATTGCCTGATACAGAGGCCTCACTCTGTACCAACAGGGCTGAAAGGCACAAACAGCATCAGAACAATTCAGGAAAGCTTTACTAACAGAAAGTAAATATACTGAGGCTGGAAGTTAAACAGTCAGAAGTTAGAAGCAGCCACATTTTGTAGTGAATGAAGTTGCTGCAATGTCAATTGCTGCAGAAGCTGTTGATGGATGCAGAGAAGGAGTGGGTATGGAGGTTGCTCAGTGTGGCAATAAAATTCAATGCTGCAGTTAAGATGGCAGCCTCTCCATGGTTTTGCATCATAGTTTTTACATAGTGCTATTTCTGCCCCTCACTTTTTGCAGGTGGATACTAATTATGAACTTCTAATCCTGCCTCCCACCCAAGTTAATTCCATGTTCATTTTGCTAACAAGTGTCAGATGTTTGCTCATAGCAGATCTAATTGGCTGAATTTGGAAGCCTCAGGTTCAGTCCAAGACTCTGGAAGATTCTAATTTTCTCCTCCAAAGGATCATCCCTTGTGCACTGCCCCAAGCCTGTCTCTTCTCTAGAGAGACAATCTCACCATGTATTAGATTTAGAACAGTTAAAGAAAAAAAGTGTAAGAAATATAAGAAAACCCCTAGTGGTTTGCCAATGGTCATCAGATATGACAGAAGAAGTAAGCTTTATTTATACTCGGTAAAGAAAAAAAGCTTTAATAAGGATCTGTTGCTTTGAGTGATGTTTTGCCTGGAAATTTGTTTCCAGGATATCTGAAGTTTGTAACAAATTTCTTTTGCCAACTGAGTTACAAAAGACATGGATTCATGTAGCTCTCGTCTTCTATAATATTTAAGATTGCACACAGATATTCTAAGATGTGCATCAAAAGACCTAAACCACCAGATGTTTTAGCTGACTTTGTTTAAAAGCTGTTTTTCAATTATTATGATAAACATGTAAGTCTCAAGTGAAAGAAATGAAATTGTTTCTGCTTTTAAATAAGAGCACTTTGTAAGCCCTGCCCTATCACAGAGTAGGAAGGAAGAAAACACTGCAAGTATATTGTATATTGGCAGGACTCTCACATGTCCCAGATCTGTTTGCAAGACAGCAACTCTTTTGCTACAAGGCAACTTGTCATCCACATTGAGGCATTTGGTCAGTATTAGAGAGGGACAATTCAGTGACTGTCATCTGAAAGTATATCCTGCAACATTTCACTTTCCTCATCAGGTTTCCATACAGATAGTATACATATCCTAATTAACTACTGGGACTCAACCAGATCCCAGAATGGTCTGTCTCATGCATACATACATCTCCATTACATCACCATTTTGCGACATATTTAGCTGTGGCTTAGACAGTACAGGAATAAGAATTTAACTTCTGATTTCACATGATCAAATTTTCATCCTATTTCAACTGCAAACATACCCCGGGGCTTCCAGATGCTTTCCTGCCTCTATAGGCCTTTGTGCATCCTTCTGCATAATACAAAAGCTTTTATGGCATGCGTAGCTATGTGACACCAAATCTTCATTGCTCACAAGTCATCTGTTGAAATCAACAGGACTGTTCATGTAAGCAATGGCTGGTTTTCATGTCTGCAAAGATGCAGAAGTGGACTAGGTGTTTCTGGGCTTCATGTAACAAGCAATCAGTCTTATGTGGTTTGTAACTGATGCCAAGACATCGGCTTCCCTTTGTGCCGTATGGAGCCTATTTCTTTTGTGTACCCAGCTTCTTATCTGCGCAACATACCTTGCTGCCTAATAACTACACAGTTAAATTATTTTAGGGAATGTGCTGGGATTTTTAAGTTCCATAGTAGCAGATGTCATCTGATTATGCATTTATACAGGAGAGATTTCAATATAAAGGAGAGGGGATCATGAGATAAAGGGAGCTTAAATGAGAAGAAGAGATAGTATTAAATAATTTAACTTGAAAAGAACAAAGATATTCAGAATGAATAAGATAAAGAGAGATGTTAATTATAAATAGGAAAGTTGAGGAGAAAAAGTGGAAATATATGGGACGGTTTACAATGCATTTATATTTCTCACAAGCACTTAGTGGCATGATCTCAGATTTTTCAGGTGCTTGAAGAGATTGATACACTGATCCCATTAGCTCTTTTTCCTTATAGAAATGGAATTCACAACTGTTATTCCATCCTGGCCTAGGTCCTTGTAGTGTTTCAGGCATCTGCAAGGGATCTTTCAATTGTTGCTACTGGATGTTAGTAAATACCTGTGAGCACTTTGGTATTGCCAGATGTGGGACTTACTACCATTAGCAAAATGCACTAATAGGAATTATGTACAAGTTCAATTTAGAACAGTGCTTAATGGGACTTAAACACACATATAGGTATACTTTTCTACATAGAAGCTTAAAGATGATAAAAGGTTTTGTGATTATACGGGTTTATTTCTGTAATAGTACCATTTCCCCCACCCTCCACCCCCAAGGCTGTAAATGCATAATGATGAGGGGATTTTAACTTGTAACAAGGGGTCCTCATGTTTAGGTATCTAAAAATAATCATTTTTTTTTCTTTACTTAAGAGCCTATTGTGAAATTTTCATGCACTGATCTTAGACATCAAGAAAACTTAAAAGGCAACAAACAGGACTTTGCTGATCCCTTTCCTAGAACCTGCTTATTCTTACAGAGAAACAGAACCTGGCTTAATGCTGCTCCACTCGTGATATTCTCTTGCCTTCTCCTCCTAGACCTCTAAGAGACCATATAGATTAGAGAAATTTTCATGTTTGCACCTGAAATATGGTTTCCCGCTAGACAGCAGGGCTATAATGGATTCAGAAAGTTGGATTAAAAAAAAAAATTAAAAAAGAAGAAAGAAAACCAAAAAGCAACTGGCATAATAAAGCTGTTCTCAGAGCACATTATGGGCTTCTTTAGCTGCAATTTAAAAATGTTAAAAAATATTTTTTTCAATGATGAAAAGCTGTCCATATTTGAACCTGAAAAATGAAGCTGGGAACATGAGATTGCTTCTCTGGATGATTTCACAATGAACAACTGGAATTAACTGAATTAATCTG